CTAGTAATAAATAAAGACACTGACAGAAAAAATATAGGCCACAAAGCCAGAGAACTTTTTGAAAAGTAATAACAGATGCATGAGAGAGCAGAGTTTTGGAAAACAAAAAAAGGGAAAGTTTCCACAAGTCTTCAAAGGGGCGGTGGTGAGAAGCAGAGAGTTGCTGTTCAAGAAGCATGTTTCACTTGTGAAAAACATTACGTTCTAGAGATCTGCTGTACAACACTGTGCCTCTACTTAACACTGAATTGTACACAGAGAAATTTGTTGAGAGTCGATCTTGTCACAGTTAAAAAATAGAAAGAATGGGAAGGAGATTAAGAGATAAGAGGGAAGACACAATCCAATTACATGTTCATTCATGTCTTCATTACTGAGTGAATACCTGCTCTGTGTGAAGCTCAGAACTAGTAGCTGGGGACTAAAACAAATGAAAACAAGAACAGGAACACTTCTCATTAGATTTATTGTAATCTAAACAAATAAAAAAAATTTAACTATATTTTCCAAAACTAAAATATTAGTGAGAAAAATGGAATTTTTTCATTTTAGCTAATCTTTAATATCTGGCTTAATAAACATCGGCTGGATTTTTTTTTTAATTAAGCTAACAAGTGGTTTAGGTAAAAATGTTGAAACAGGCATCCCAGATAATTATCTCCTCCACTAAAGCAATGAAAAAACTGGCAAAAATTATAGAAGTTAGCAAAGGCAATCTGTGGAAATATACAAGAAAAAACGGCTGACTCACAGTAAGAACAATATTGTGTCCTTTTAATTTAACCCTCTCTCTCCAACTCAGCAGTAGTTTGAGAACCAAAATTCTGCAACCAGCAGCCTGGCAACTACAAGAGGGTTGGAGTTCCATCAAATCAAAACCTCATTCCCAGAAAACTGTCATCACTTGGTCTATTTGGAGGTTCCCTGAAAGACCCGGCTTACAAGGATGTCTTTATCTGAGCTAACTTGGAGCTTACATAGTGGGAATAGACTATCTTCAGACGCATCTGTCAAAACACTGAAAGGCAAAAACAAAACACTGAAAGGCATTTGTTTAACTTAGTGGCTACCTGAGGCGGTAATAACAGCAGGGGCAACCAATGACCAATCGAGAAGCTTAAAAGGAAATGCTGGGGAATGAAAGGTCAATAAAGATTCTGTAAAGCTCCTATATATTCCTGGGGATCTGGAAGGCCAATTACATGCAATTCATATTTATGCAGAGTAATTCGTATTTATGCAGAGTAATTTTGAGGATATTCTGTTGATTCATCAGAAAAATGTCTTAGTTCAACCCCTGTGTTTGAGTTTCTGAAAATTAGTAGTGACTGAGTTTACATATATCATTAAGTCTTCTACTTTTATTAAAGAACAATTAGAGACAATATTCTATATTATTTCAGGGTTATGTTACTGGAAAGCTGTTAACTAAATTGCCTACTTGAAACAACAAAGATATTTTTTATCTTCAATTGTCTTTATGGGGAATCAGTTTGCTTTATCTCCTCACCAATGTCAGCCTTTAAGGAAGTATTGTCTGACATTCTGACATCAATATCAGAACCCTCAGAAATAAATTTCTACATGCCAACTTTGTTCTGCTATTCATCTGTATTTCTATATCTTCTCTGAATGCATCTGACCCATTTCGATTTCTATTTTTCCATGTTAATACAGAGACACAAACCCTTATAAAATCCACTGTAAAAATAAATAGGTTATTAAAAACTGAACTCACCTGAGCTTTGTTCATTTTCTGCTGCTCTTGCAAGAAGGTAAAAAACTGTGAAGGTCTAGCTGGGGAGAAGGGAAGAGAAATGGGGTCATGAGAAACCTGGTCTGCCTTACAATTCCTATATTCATCTGCCTAAAAAATCTCCTAAAACCAGGTGGAGAAAAGGCTTCCCTATGGCAGAATGTCCCTTTGACATTCTTTTTTTATTATTGATTTCAGAGAGGAAGGAAGAGAGAGAGACAGAAACATCAATGATGAGAATCGCTGCCTCCTTCGTTTCCCCACTGGAGATTGAGCCCACAACCCGGGCATATGCCCCGACCAGGAATCGAACCGTGGCCTCCTAGTTCATAGGTGGATGCTCAACCAACCACTGAGCTGCACCAGCTGGGCCCCTTTGACAGTCTTGAGAAGGAACAACAAAAACCACACAGAGGTAGCACCACCTGAATATCTGCATCTCTGAGATGATCACGTGGGCTTAATCTTGCATTTTCACTAAGTAAACTGCATTTTGTCAATGAATTAACAATTTATGCTCCCTCCTAATTAAAACAAAAAATTTTAAAAACTAAATAAAACAGAGGATTCCTTAAATAAATTCAGGTACCCCAGAGGTGAAACCCCCTACTTTCATTAAAACTAATGTCAAAAAATTACTCTGGCTGGATTATTAATCAAGTTCTTGCTGTCTTTACAGCTTTAGTTTCCCCAGAAAACTCTAAAATATGGTGGGATATTTTATGTAAGAAATACATTCCTAAACATTTTGCTCTAAATTAAGATACAGTTTCTACAAAGATCTTTTGAGATGTTTATAGCACTTTTTGTGAGTAAACAGACTCCACTTGGGCTCACCCGCCGCTCGCAAAGGCTCACCAGACACTCAAAGGCTCACCAGCTGCTTGCAAAGGCTCACTGGCAGGGGTGTGATTAAGTAATTACACTGAGAAGGCTCTGGGAGCCCAGGTGCCTGGCCTCAGGGTGTTCGCAGAACCAGCTGGGCCAGAGTCTCCACTCCTGCTTCTAGAGGAGCAAATCAGCACCTGCTCCTTTCTAGAAACTTCTGCCTCTGCTCTGAAGCTCTGGTGAAGGGTCTGTCAGAATCGCTGTTCTTCCAAGTGGCAGCTGTTTCTGGGGCTCCCTCCTTCCTGACGTGAAAGAGTCACTTTGCTCCAGAGGAACTGGGACCTGAGCCTGAGAAACAAATGCACTTTATCTGAAACCTCCCTCCGACATTCTAAGCCTGACCCTTTTGGAATTCACTAAGAATTCACTACCCAGGACTGGAGCCAGCAGCTGCATGCAGCCACTGCACCTGAAATGTGGCTGCTCCGCAGGACAAATTTTGACTGTATTGAATTAAATCGGTATTGAATTCATTCACCTCCTTTCTTTTCACTGTGACTACTGAAATTTTTTAAGTTATATTTTTATATTGTATTTGCATTATCTTTCTATTGGCCAGCACTGCATGTGATGGCTAGACTGGGCCTTTGAGGACGGAGGAGGCCTGGACAGTGCAGGAAGCTGCAAGAGCCGCATTCTGACCCGGGGTTCTGGAGAAAACCCACGAATCCCAAGTATATTTACCAAATGGTGAGGTCCTGTCCCCGTTCACTTTACAATCACGTCTCTGGGAATCTGGGGACAGGCTACTCTTCTACGTGCTGCAAAGGTTGCAACTTCGGGTTTGGGGCGGGGAGGGTTCTTAGGAGAGCAAGAGACAGGGGGTAAAATCTGCATTTGCATCCTACCGCTCTGCACGGCCAGCTCCTGCTCTGGGGGATATCATTCCGCCCCCAGCAAAGTCCTCTCGCTTCTTAAAATGGCACGTCCATACCGACAAGTAGGCTTGTTGTCAGCGCTAAATGAAACAAAACAAGGGAACAAAGTGTCTTGGTAGCCATTTACACAGTGATCACACGGCATTTGGCAACGTATTTTGCAGATGACACCTTATTTCGTTCTCAGAATATCTGCATAAACTGTGAGTAGCCCCTTGTGCACTGTGAGCGTCCAGAGGGTGCACTCCCCTGGCGCCCCGGCAGTCCCCCGCTCGCCGCACAGGGCGTCTCCTCCCAGGAGGACTCGGTCCCACCTGCGCTGCGGGAGCCGGCGAGGAGGACGCGCACGCACAGGGCTTGGGGCAGGGAGGGCCCGTGGCGGAACCGGGACTGCCGGCTCCCGCGCCCCACACTTGAGCTTACCTGACCGCGGGGGCTCGGGTTCTCACTCAGGTGCGCAGGCTCTGCCTCCGCACAGACCCCGGAAGGCAACCGGGAGGAGGCGGGACCGGTGGGCACATGCGCAGAGTGACTGCTGATGACCCTTTCCCAGAGGCCTGTTCGGTAGGCCCACACATTCAAGACTACATTTCCCATGAACCCTTGAGACAGAAGGAAGTAATTTTTGAAGCATTTCCGCTTCAGTAGCCCATTGGACCTGACCCCTGGAGACTTCTGAATCCACTGAGATTTGGGGTTAGACTTTAGGGCCTAACAACACGTTGCAAAGCGTGGTACTTGATGGGATCCGGGTTGGAAAGAAGAGCTGCAAGAGACAACAATGGAGAAAACACGAATATGAACCTGATATTAGAAATATAAAGGAAAATTACCATTACCTTGGTTAGTGTGATAAGACAAGGGTGGACAAAAGTTATTAATAATAAGTAATACAATAAGTAATAATACAAGAATAGCTGTTGTAATGTACCCCTCGAGTAACACACAGGACGCAAGATCAAATCGATGAGTCATTTAATCAATAAAGCCGGCGACTGCAAGGAAGAAGCAGCTCCAAATCTCCCAGTGCCCCCTTTGCGGAAACATCAGACTTATAGAGGCTAATATAACAAAGGTATTGATTACATCTCGAGGTTTGGAATGAGGAACCTGGTTTGCAAAAGCAGTTTGTTACAGAAGCTTAGATTGAGCAAGTTAGTTAGCTACAAAGATTATAGTTTCAGGTCTTGGGACCACTGAGTCAACAGAAACATTTTCTAAAGCCACTGAAGCAATTTAAAGCAAGTGTGCTGTCCTGGTCCCCAGGTGCAGAAGAATGTGTTTTGAAAGACCAGTAAAACCACAATCAATGGGGTATTCAATCGAATAGGATGATTTATATAAGTTCAGAAAATCAAAATAACAGAAGCCAGTATTTAGCAAGCAAATAATTACAGAAGAACAGCAGGGTTAAAATATTAAACAGCAATTGTTACCTGAGATGATTGCTACCATGCTTCATAAACTTTCATGTACTCACTACTGTGAACTTATTTTTGCCTACCCTTGAAGCAGGGTTAAAATATTAAACAGCAATTGTTACCCAAGATGATTGCTACCATGCTGTGAACTTATTTTTGCCTATCCTTGTATTTGGACTATGCAGGAAAATGCTGTACTTTAAAGATACATACTGATATAGTTACAATTTAAAAATCATATATTTATAATTTACTTTTTAAAAATTAAGCAAAACAGAGGATGCAAATATGTTAAAAGATTAAGAATCATTAAATCTGTGCAGTATGTGTAAATGATATTCATTTTACTATTTCTGCTACTCGGAGTGTTTAAATTTCTTTTTAATAAACAGTAAAAGACATGGGGTGGGGTGAGATGGAAAGAGATTAGGTACACTACTAATCTAGAAGTGTACCTTTTAAAATCAAGCTGCCAAGGAAGTAAAAGTAAACACAAGAATCCCTTTCACAGCCCTAACTGGTTTGGCTCATTGGATAGAGCATCGGCCTGGGGACTGAAGGGTCCCGGGTTTGATTCCGGTCAGGAGCGTGTGCCTTGGTTGCGGGCGCATCCCCAGTGGGAGGTGTGCAGGAGGCAGCTGATTGATGTTTCTCTCTCATCGATGTTTCTAACTCTCTGTTCCTCTCCTTCCCCTCTGTGAAAAATCAATAAAATATTTAAAAAAAACAAAGAATCCCTTTCACAGCTGTGAAATAGAACAAACCTGGAAAATAGAGCCAGCATTAACCTCTTAAAAGGTAACATCTGTGACCAGCAGGATTCAGGTGGGGGAGGAGGCAATAATCTAGCTGTTCAAATTACATAAATAATACATGAAAATCATACAACCCCCAATAAGAAAATGATTATTGCATCAATTTTGCATTTCCGTGAAGTAGACCTTCCTTGAAACTTAATGTGTGCACACATCAAATTAGAGACATGGATACAATAACATAATTTTCTCCTATCAGACTTTTTTAGAGCAGTTTTAGGTTTACAGAGTCGTTCAGAAGAATGCAAAAAGAGTTTTCATATACCCCATCTCACTAGCTAGAGTGCACTATTGTAAGAGTCCTGATTATATTTTCAATGACCCCTTTGGGCATCACAGACAGGCAAGGGCTATCTCATGCCTTTATTATGGCATGCCTGTTTTCAAACTGTTGATGGTAGACCAAAAATAAATAAATAAAATACATAGCATACCTTTCTTCTCTCTCTCTCTCTCTCTCTCTCTTCTTCCTCTTCTCTTTCTCTCTCTCTCTCTCACACACACACTCGCTCGCTCTCTCTCTCTCTCTGATTTATTTGGGTCTTGGATGTTATTGTCCTAATCGTGGATGGAGTCTCCTCTCAGGGTGTCTGATTACGTAGCTCACTTCCTACCACATCACGCCAACCATTGTGGAGGTGCTGACTGAACAACCATCAAAAACCTACATGACAAGACATGACACAGAAGGAACAGAACACGAATATCCACAAGACACCTATCACCCCAACAAAAGTGACCACCAGAGAAAAGAGAAAAGAGAGCAAGAATGATAGCGAGAAAAGAAAGAGAAAGAAAGAGAGAAAGAATATGAGGAGAAAAGGAGAATAGAGGAGAGAGCAGATAGGCCTAAATTTAGGAAGTGAAAAAGTTACAAAAAATTAGAAGAAGAAAAGAGAAAAAATAAAAAATAAATTGAGAGGTGAAGAAAATGATAAGAGAAGGGGAAATGGAGTAGGAGCGGGAAGAGGAAATTAGAAATATGAATAAACCAACAGAGACTAGAATAATAACACATCAAAAAAGCAGATAAAGAAGATCAATTTTTTAAAGGGGGAAGAAAGAAAAGAGAAAACCTAAAATGCAGGAAAAAGGTGCCAAAAAAGGAAAATAATTACAAATATTTAAATAAAAATAAAAAATTGAAGTGTCATTCGCTTCAGCCGAGTATAAATGCCCCATAGGAGCAGGTTTAGGACCATACTCTTCTGTTCTGTCTGCCAATTCTGGACTTCCTGTTAGGTACTTAAGTGTTGACCACTGTCAGGTGCTGTCTTTTCGCTTTTAGCACCCTGTTTGACTCTCCAAGCAATCTAATGGTTAGGTCTAATGGTCAGGCCCTCTGGTTAGGTGTGTCTCCGCAGGCCTTAGCTGTATGCAGGCGGGGCCAATCTGCCCTCTTTGTCTGTCTGCCAGCTGTCAATCTTAATCACTCAAGCATCTGTTTCTGACAGGTGTTGGTGCTGTTTCACTTTCAGGGAATAAGATCTTTCATTTTCTTGGAACACTTTCCCTCCTCGTCTGCTTGCTGACCTCATCCATCTCATGGCCTTAATGGCATCTATACTGTCACGATTCCGCATTTACTTATCCACCCCAAACCTTTGCACACAGTCCCAATTCCCACCCAGCTGCCAGCATGACATCTCCACATGGGTGCCTAATGTGCCCAAACCAAGCAGACTTCCCCTGAACCTGCTCTCACTTGGTCTCCCTCTGCTCCAGGACAGCAGCGCCATCCTGACTGGTGTTCAGGCCCCAGCTCTGTGGTCTTTCTTGACTTCTCCCCTCTCTCCACCCCCTCTCTTCCCCACCAGCAAAGCCTCTATATCCAGCTTCAGACAGTGCCCTCATCTGACCCCTTGAGTGCCTCCCCTTACTCTGTCTGCTCAGAGTCACCATCACCATTTGACAGGATGACTGTAGCTTCTGCTAACCATGCCCTGCTCTTGCCCTCACCCCTGCACTTTGCTCTCCACCCGGTACCAGATGACCCAGAGGAGTCACTCTGCAGCTCGAAGCTGCAATAGCATTCTACTCATCAGAGTTTAAGCCACAATGTGTGCATCCCCTGGGACTCTTACATGATCTGACCCTCGGTCACCTGTCTGATCTAACTACAATGCGGGCCCCTCGCTCTCTCCGCTCCACCTCACACGGCTTCATGTGCTTCTCAAATGTGCCAAGATGCTCCTGCCCCAGGACTTAACATTTTCTGTTTCTTCACCTTGAATCCCTGCCCATGACACACACATGGTGATCTCCCTCCTTCTTTCCAGGTCTCTGCTCAAATGTCTCCCTGACCATGAGGTCTCCCAGATCCCTTTTAATGATCACTAAGCAGGAACTGTGATGACTGCCTCACATGTCACCTCCCCCACTACCTTTCTGCCCCATTTCTCTTTACAGCTCCCATGACCATTTGGCATGCCAAGTTTCATCCTTGTTTGTATATTGTTTTTCCTTCCTCACTGTAAACTTCATGAGAGCAGGGATTGGGATTGGCTTTATCACTTTGTCAATACTTTATCTCCAATACCATAGGCACACAATAAATGCATCGCATGTTGGAAGAATGAACAAATTACATGAGAGTAAAGAAACTCTGTTATAATTTATGGTAATGAGTCTGTAGCTTCATCTAAATCTGCATGTGAACCTATCTACATGTCAGCTACTTAATTTTCGAATGTGTAATTAATTTTCTATGAGAGTATCCTGGAAACATCTGTATATTTAGAAAGTGTTGATAGTAAATAGTAGAGAACACGCTAAAAGTAGATTAAGTATTGAAATATACCTTCCAGACACACAAACTTACCTCAGAAAGAGCATAGCAGACTGAATTTGAAACCATCTAACTTGTTAGGGACTGCTTGTGAATTCAGAGCACAGACGGCCAAAGCAACACTGCTCATACCTCAGGTGAGGGCAATCTGCAGGAAGCAGGGGGCTTGGCTTGTAATGTTCTTGAAGGTCTACAGATCTGGGGAAAGAGACTACTTATTGAGGAATGCTATAGAACGGCTAAGGCCCCTAAAAAAACGCAGAGGTGATACTCTTACAAACTCGGGACATTTAAAAGCCGCCATGTATATAGGCTTTAGAGGTAAAACTCACTTCTTTGCTTGTCACCTCTACTCTCAATATTTCCCTTCACTACCACTCACTTCAGAAAACAGATGTGTAGATTTTCCACACACTACCCAATTCTGTGACACAAGCTCGGAGTCCCACCATTGAACTCAATTCTGACACTCTCCACTACAGATAGTATCAGACTCCACAAGCCCAGTCCCACAAGATTTCCCCT